AAAAAAAAAAAAAAAAAACAACAAAGCTCTGTTGAATATTGAAATATACCAAACAGTACTGGAGAGTGCAAAAACTATTTTCCAAATTAATATAATCATTTCTTTTTTCAAATTTTTCAGCAAACCTTTCGTTTTAAATTTTGGTATTTGAGCGTATATTTCAAGATCACACATGAAATTGGCTAAAGCGCAGCTGTTTATAAAGCAGCAGTCTTATTAGGAGCGACTGTATATAGAGTCGCCGTAGTTTATCAGTTTTATCAGCCTGCAAAAATCCACGATGCAAATTTTACATAGAGCTAGAACCGTCAGTTTCCAGTGTCAATTGTTTATACCAATTATATACTATTCTGCAAATCTGGATAATATTTGTTATGACAAACAGTCGAAAATTTATACCATTAGAAGATATCTTAATTTGTTGTCTTACTGCACATTTATGTGACTTTCTTCTTAAATCTTATTGAACGAATTTTTTTATATGTATACTTTTAGTTTGTGTGTGTTTTCATAATGCTTTTCATTTTTTATATTTTCAAATAAATTGTAATTTTTTTATAATAATAATTTGATAAAATGAACATCACAACAAATTTGCATACATGTCACACGTATGAGGAACTTATATAAGCCGTGAACGTAACGTCGCCAATTATTATAAAACAAAAAATGAAAAATGAACATTTGAAGATCATTCAGAAATGTGGGTGGAACAGCGATAGGAAGCAACATCTTTTACGTCTTACAAACAATTATTGTTAACGAAGAAAATAAAAGTGAGAAGAATATTGTACTAAAATATTTGATATACATACATTTGTTATTATTTGTAATACAAAAATTAAATAAAATTGCATCCAGATAATAAATAAAAAATAAAAAAAAATAAAATAAACAATGCAAAAATTGCTCTTGATTACTTTACCCATAGAATGCCATCATCATAACGTATTCATTTATGAACTCGTAACTAAGAGTTGGAATAATACAAGAATTCTCTTGATGTCAGCATAATAAAATAACATATATATTTGAGTCATGTTTACAAGTTAAAAAAATCTTTAAAAGCATTTGCTGCGCGAATTCGATTTGCTTCGGCTGTTGGAGCTGCGTCGCGTGGAGCTATCTACAAAAGTACTACTGCCCATATTATCGTCCATAATAGTTTCATCCACGCTGGCATCATCCTCGGGAATTTCTTCATCGCTATTGGTTTCGTTGATAAGTGATCCCCTGGGAGTCACAATTGCATCGCCATGCAGATCCTGATTATCCAAAATACTGATATGAAAGGCGGCATGGCATTTGTTGGCCGCCAACAATGCTTTTATACGAAACACCAGTGTTTCCAGCGTTTCGCGTAGGCTGGGAATGTAGCTAATTATGGCCGTGTTCTTGATTGACTTCGAATGGCAGCAGAGATTGTGCAGAAACTTGGTAACGTTCTGAAGGTCATGAAAAAACTTAGTCAGGCGTTCTGGACTATCGCGAACAATCGGCTCAAGCACAGATACGCCATGTTGCAGGAATAGTTTCAGGAACAATTGCGAATGCTTCAAGAATAATGCGAAATTACGCGGTTGTTCAACATTTTTGACAATATCCAAAAGGCCATTAAGTAGACATATAGCCGACTCCCACAGCTTAAAGCGATCACCTTCGGTTTGGCCACTACATTGGGAGTTCAAAGTGCTAATGATAATCTCGCATAGTCCACGAAACAGTAGAGGAAAGTTGGGTCTAAAAGAGAAGTTGATAAATTTGTTGATAAATATAGTCTACTGGGCTAACTTACTTTTTGATATTGGGGATCGACTGTAAAGCCAAGTCCTTTTTATTGAGAAGCACGCACTCCTCTTTAAGGGAAAGCAATATGTCCTTTTGACGTTCAAATGATAAGTCCTTAAGAAAGCCTTTAATCAGCTCGTCCAGATGTATGTTACATTGCGCACCCTTCTCCAGGCTGCCCGTATAGTGGTACCATTTACGTCTCAGCATATTGGTGCAATATTTTCCTATAACGACAACAGCAAATTAGAAGAAAAAAGATTTAATAATTATCATAACTTACTTATATCCTCGGCCTGCTGTTTGCTGCGCTGAACTGCATTCTCGCCGGAACAACTCAACTTACGCAAGCTGCGCAGCAAATGCTGCAGCTGCACAGCAGTGCCAAGTACTAGCACCGATTTCTCATATTTGCAGAAGTAATCAAAGATCTGGGATGCTGTGCGTGCTATAGATGGTTTTCTTGCTGCCTTCCGCTGACCAGGTGGCATTAGTGAATTTAGTGACGCTAATTAAAAAATAATTCATCAGTCATGCCCATATTTATAGTTATGCTTTACTCACACTCAAGAAGTTGAGATTTGGACTTGTCACTCCACTCACTCCATGAGAAATACAATGCAAACAATTGAATGCACAAGCCAAAACAAGTTTTAACATAATTAAAGCGATCCTTGAACAGATCCAAATTGCTGTGGACATTATTAACCTTTTCTACTTCCTGGTCAATGTGCGCTGCCAAGGTGATTAAACGCAGATGAATTTCATCTAGACATTTTTGTAAGTCGGACATATAATGCTCCGGCTTGGCCACATGCGACCTTAACGAATTGGCTTCGGCCACGTCTTGGCATCCATTTATAATCGTGTCCAATTTATGCACCAAATCTGTGAGTATAAAACGCAATTCCAGCAAACCCAAATGCGTGCCCACTTCCTCCTCTTCCAGTGGATAGTTTAGACTGAAAGGTTGTTCTTTCAGCAACACTATTATGCCCACATCAAGCTGTCTAAAACATTCCATGGGTCCATATAATTGCTCGAAATTGATTTTACATTTAATGGACTTGCAGGCACCCAACTTGATCGTCAGATCCTCCAGTTTTGACTGATCCATACTTTGCGGTTCATCCATGATAGATTCGTTATTAACCTTATTTGCCTTCACCTTGCTGATTGCAGGTCTTTTTTCGCGAGTAACTTGCTGAGCAGCGGCCTGTTTAAGATTGTTGAGGAACTGGCATGGCGGTGGTGCAAAACCAACAGGAGCATGCGCCAAGAGCGGCTTTAATCTTTGCTCTGTGGAAATCAAATCAGCGAGGCGTTTTAGAACCCGCTTGCGTGTGGCCTCATGCTTTTGGGATGCAAAAGCACAGATCGTCACACGCATCCAGTTGATCGTGTGATAGTAAATATGCAATATATGCTTTTGCGTTTCCTCATCATAATTATCAAAGATGGCCAAATAATTGGGATCATCAAAAAACGTGGGCAGCACAATGGCGCAGCCTTGTAGCGCATTTATCAATTCCAGACTGTACTGGTAGCGCTGATTGTGTAGCACGCTGACCAGGTGAAAAAGTGGGGCTAGAACTAAGATAGAATCACTGGCACTGAAAAAATAACAG